TTTTTTTTTTCTCAGGATTCTTTGTAAGTTTTATGCACATGGAGCATGTCTGAAAGGGGAGCACTGTGAGTATTCACATGATTGGAGTGATCCAGCAAGTAATGTAAGATCTATAATTCTTTTTGAATTTTCCAAATTATTTTTCTTTGATGTGGGGTAATTGTCTTTCCTRATTGTTGCCTTCTACTGGTTTGTAATGACAGGTGTGCACTTTCTTTCAGAAAGGAGCATGCTCTTATGGTAGCCGATGCAGGTATGAACATGTTAAACTTTCTCGTCTACGGCATTCTATCTCATCATCATCAACAAATCCTCATCAGCATTCATCTAGAATTGCCTTGAGCGGGGAAACCACTTCAGTCCTGAGTATTCCTGCAGAGCTTTCAGCTTTGAATAGACCTTTCTCTCCTCCTAGCAAACCAGCTTGGAGTCATGATTCGGGAAACCATAATGTCTTCGACAATGGGAATGAGAGGGAATCCACAATTGTTAGGCCTTCTGATCGCTCTATTTGTTCATTTGCTGCTGCTGGTAACTGCCCTCATGGGGAAAAATGTCCACACATTCATGGAGACTTATGTCCCACTTGTGGAAAACATTGCTTACATCCATATAGGCCTGATGAAAGGGAGGAGCACACCAAGACATGTGAAACAAAGAAAAAGCACCTTGAGGCATTGAAACACAGCCAAGAAATTGAGTGCAGTGTGTGCCTAGATCGTGTTCTCTCAAAGCCCACGGCTGCTGAACGCAAGTTTGGATTGCTATCAGAATGTGATCATCCATTCTGTATATCCTGCATCAGGAATTGGCGTAGTAGTTCCCCATCCTCTGGCATGGATGTTAATACTGCACTGAGGACCTGCCCAATATGTCGTAAACTTTCATATTTTGTCATTCCAAGTGTCATTTGGTATTCCACAAAAGAAGAAAAGCAGGAGATTATTGACAGCTACAAAGCAAAGCTTAGGTACCATAATAATCCTACAGATTTCTGTGTTTGTAGTTAAAGTTCGCTAGTTTTGTTGTCTGTTGGAATAATCTACAATGTCTTTACTGGCAATCATTTCTATTGCTGACAAGATGCATGCATTTTTTTTTTCACTTTTAAAAATATATATGATCTACAATAAAACATTATGAGAATGTGGTGTAACCATAGTTGTCAAGGCGTCGCCTAGGTGACTAGGTGCCAAGGGCGCCTCGCCCAAATGCCTTGATTTTTAGCAACTAGGCGCCTGCCTAGGCAATTAAGTGCCCGCCTAGGCGACAAAAATGACAAGGCGGGCGCCTTTTATAATATCATTTATATTGCTGTATCTTATTAATGTATGTGTTAATACATTTTATTATATGCTATATATCAATTATATTTTGTTTTAATGTTTTACTATTGAAATTTAAAAGATCAAAGGGTTTTGAGAAGAGAGAAAGAAAGAAAGAAAGAAAAGAAAA